CCCCCCTGCGGGCTCGTGTGACCTGGGCTGCAGTGTGCGGACTGCCCACAGGGGGCAGCACTGCTGAATGAAAGGAGACTCGCTTAGCTTAGGAGCGTGGAACCTCGGGAGCACACTTCAAGTGATTTTAGACTGCACTGATCACGACCCAGTCATTTATAAACGACTTCCTACAGAAATGGAGAGATCATTCCAAGCCACCGAGTAAGTAAGGATGTGCATGGGCACTGTTTCTTTCTTCCTGGCTCTGATGGATTCGAGAAGAGTCCCGAGGCTTTAAGAATCTGGCAAAAGGCTTCTAAGAGTTCAGCAAGCCTGAATGCGGGCCACAGACCCTCCCTCTTAAGGCAGCCCCCGCAGCCCCGGTGGTGTGCTGACAAGGAAAACACCCGCCCCGCCGTCCGGTACCAGCCGCTGCTCCAGGCACATCCCATGTGCGACTTCACTTTATGTCCACAACCACCCCTCTGCTCTTACCCGCTTCTCACAGGTGGGAAAACAAGGGTAGAGAGCTTAAGAAACTTGCCCCAGAGTACCCCCCAGTGAGTGGCAGAGCTGAGATCTGATTCCACGCAGCCTGGCCCCAGGGCACGTGCCAGCACACAGCGCGGCCTGAGTTAATTACTCCTCAAAGCCCACCAAGAGCAAATACGATTTAAAGGGAAGACAAGAGAGGCAGTTGCAAGAAACACAGACGCAAGAAACAGGGCTGAGCAAGAAACTGGAGGAGGAGAGGTGCTTGCTGTCTTCCCCTTGCAGGTGGTCCTGCTGCTACCGTAACTTCCGGCCTCCGTGAGCAGCACGCACTCTCCTGAGAGAGAGAGGGCCCCCCGGGTGCCAGGCTCAGCGCTCAGCTCCCCTAGCTCTATGACCTGGAGCAAATAACTTTCTCTTTCTTTCTTTTTTATCGTGGTAAAATATACAGAACATAAAATTTACTTTTTTTTTTCATTCTAAAGCGCACGATCTAGCAGCATTAACCATGGCCACTGTCCATTTCCAGAACTTTTCATCATCCCAAACAGAAACTCTGTACCCAGTAAACAGTAACGCCCCACCTGCCCCCAGCCCCTGATAACCCCTGTTCTACTTTCTATTCCTGGGCATTGGACGACTCTGCATAGCTCATGTAAGTACAGTCATGCAGTATTTGCCCTTTTGTGTTAGTTCATGCTGCTTAGCATGATGTTTTCCAGGTTCATCCCCATTAAGCATGTATCAGAATTCCATTCCGTGTTAAGGTTCACTAATGTCTGCATCTACCACAGGTAGTTGATTCAGTCATCTGCCGATGGGCTGTTCCCACCTTTGGGCTGTTGTGAACAGAGCTGCTGTGAACATTGTACAGGGATCAGCCTGAGACCCTGCTTTCAATGTTTTGAAGTCTACACCTCAGAGTGGGGTTGCTGGGTCATATGGCAATTCTGTGTTTAACGTTTTGAGGAGCCGCCAAACTCATTTTATTTTTAAACAGGAGGTTTTTTTTTTTCTTCACTCAGGATCCTGGGCATAAATAAGCTTCCTAATTATTTCCCTGGGCCAACAAACAGATTTTTCCAGCCCTTTCTCCAGGAAGCATCAGCCTTTGCAGTGTCTCCTTAGTCCAGGGCTCAGCTCTGCCTTCCACCTCACTGGGGTCTGCTGAATGAAATGCAAGCACCTGTGCATGGGTACTTTCCTCTGCTTACCTTGACGTTGCAGCAGCCTTTGACCCAGTGGACCCCTTTTCCTTCTAGAACCACTTTTCACGTCCATTTCCTTTGTAGTTGCTCCCTCTCTACAATGTAAGTTCTGTGGGACAGGGACATTTTTTCTCTTATTTTCTATTATATGCTCAAAGCATAAGATGGTATCTGGCACATAGTAGGTACTCAAACACTTGGTGAAAAAGAGAAAGTGCAACATACTTCTATAGCCTTTCCATATGCTGTCTCATTTAATCCTTATAATGCTCTATGAAGGGACGCTTATCCCTATTTCACAGCCCAAAACCAGGACCAGGGGGTTTAAATAACTTCCCTAGAGTTAGCATGGCTAGAAGCATTTATATTCTACCTGCAATCCAAGTGATAATAGTGTGCGCCAGCATCACTGAAGGAAACTTGTTCTCAAAAGACCCACCAGCTATTTCTGAGGCCCTAAGGATGCTGCCCCTGCCAGTGGGCACGCTCTGGCCCCTTCCTGAGTCTGGACTTGAGGGCCCGTGGCATAACTGCCCTCTGGGCCCCTCTCAATGTCCCACACCTTCTCAATGTCCCACACAAAGCAGAGGCCAGGCAGTGACACTTAACAGAACCGTCCTGACAGTGTGAGGATAATAAAAGCACCAACTGGAAAATAAACTACAAACCTCCTGGGGCTCACACCTGCACCCAGGGCTCCTCATGGTGCTGCCCGGCCTCACTGCCAGCCTGGTCCTTGGTCTCCCACTGAACTGGGCAGCTCAGTGCCACTAGTGCAGCCCAGGTCCACCCCCCTCCCCACCCCCCGCCAAAATCTTAGTTCGTTCCAGCTGCCATAACAAAGTACCACAGACGGGGTGACTTAACCGAAACTGATTCTCTCACATTCCTGAAGGCTGAAAGTCTGAGATCCAGGGGTCATCAGGGTGGGTTCTTTCTGAGGCCTTTCTCTTGTAGAGAGATGGCCGCCTTCTCCCTGTGTCCTTGCACAGTCTTCCCTCTGCATGTGTCTGGGCACAATCTCTTCTTATGAGGACATATCATATGGGATTAGAGCCCCTCCTACCGACCTCATTTTAATTTAATGGCCTCTTTAGAGCCCCTATCTCCAAATACAGTCACATTCCGAGGTACTGGGGGTTAGGGCTTCAACATATGAATGAGGGGGACATACACAATTTAGCCCAACACAATTCAGCCAGAGGAGTGCACTTCTCCACTTTGTAGGAGGGTACAAATCTGCTCCAAGTTGCACTAATCTCGATCACCTCCTCCAAAGATGACTGCAAACAGATCGATTCATCTCAGTTCCTCCTATCAAGTGGGGAAAATGCTCAAGGCACAGGGACAGGTATGTATAAAAGGAAGTGTGTGTCTGGTGAGGACAATGAGCTAAAAAGGCCCACTGAGCTGTAAAATTGTAAGGTCTTCTATTCCCAACATGTTTCCACAGAATATAAATTATGAGATGATGCTGAAAGGGGGGCAAGGTCGAGGTGGGACACTGAAAATGGAAGTCCACACTCAGTCCAGAATTCTGCTCATCCTAGAATCTAAGCCCCTGATTTTAATCCCGTGAATGAAGCCGTTGCCTATCCTGAAGGAGCGGAATACCTTGCTTCACACGTATCAATGCAGGACCACAAAGCACGGCTTTCTTCCTCTCCTGGAACCATAAATTAAGGTCTGTTCTACACTCATCTGCTCGCCAGCTCTTGGCAGCCTTCTCTGGACCTCGGGGCTCTTTGAGTACTTACAGTCTTTGTTCAAATAAGCAGCCTCCTGATGGCTGGCCCAGATGTGAGGCCCACATCTGGAAACTATCCCTTGTCTTGGCCCAGGCATTCAGGTCTGGGAGACGTGTGTGTGTCAGGTACACCCACACCCTGCCTGGTGATCCACACACAAGGCCCGGGGCAGGACAGAGGTCTTGGAGGCTGGCAGCTTGGATTGGAGACAGTGTGTTAGGTTAAATCCCAGTGGGCAGTCATTTGGAAAATTCTGGGACCTGCCAACACAGGGGCACTCCTATCCAATCATCCTTCCTTGGTTTTCTTGGCAGGGCCCACAGTGCCAGGCCTGCCACAGCATCTAGCTTGCAACCCACTGAACTTGTTGTATCTTGCTGATGCCTCCATTTTGGTCCATGGATGGGAAATGGTTTTCCAAGCTTGGGACCCAGTCTCTTAGTTGGGGATTTCTGCCTGAGATTTATGGTGCAGGCATGACAGTGAGTTCAGGGGGCTCCTATTCTTAAAGAAAATGCTGTGCTATGAAGCCAAAAATTAGCATGACACACTTTGAACCAACAGAAGGAAGGAAACGCTCTGTTCACCATTCCTAAGGAACGGTGAGCACCAAAGAATGGTTTGTGTGCAGGAAGGAGGTGGCATATCTCCAGAGTTTGTCTGAGCAAGTGCTTACACCAGGTACTTGGGCCAGTCCCCACTGACAGATTCAGGGGGTCTGACTGATCCTATGAGCCAAGAAGGATCCTCACTGATGTGCCTGACGGACATCACCATCTTCTTCTTCTTCCTCCTTTTTTTTTTTTTTACCTTAAATGCATTTTAAAATTTCTCAAGTAGAAAGAATTTAAAATACAGATAAAACAAAAAAAAAATTATTCCTCAAATTCCAACAACAGGGATAACCACTGTTAACACTTTGGTTTATACATGCCAATCCATTTCTCCTATGCATGTATAAATACTTCCTAAAATAACGAAAGGCAACTGTATAATACTATACTATAATGCCATTCTATAACCTAATTTCTATTAACTATCTCATATTTCCATATCAAAAATATACAACTACATCTGTGGTCTAAAGAGCAGTACTGCTGCTCAGGAGAGGGCTGAAAATCTGCAAAGGCATTTTTAGTTGTTACAATAATGGGGAGTCAGAGGAAGGGGTGGGAGATATGCAATGGGCACTTAGAAGGGAAGAGACCAGGAAATTGGATTTTCTGCAATGCTTAGTCCAGCTGAAATTTGGAATGTCCTGATGGATATTCATTAAGGTGGAAAAAAAAAACCCAGAAAAACCCTGTTCATAATGATTTCAGCTCAAGACCTAACTCCATTTGACATATAAACACAAAGCTTTTTGGCATGATTTTAGTGTACCTTGAATTTTATAACAATGCAACTCATGAGTTTTGTTCTGTTTACACTTTTTACCATGAATTGTCAACTCAACCATTTGGAAATCCTCATCGGCAATGGCAAAGGCACCCATAACATTGGAGTCACCGCTACAACCACCTGGATCTATCCGTATGGTAGTCATTGCACTCATAGTGATTATACATACCTGGGAATACACTTATTCAGCCTTTTCTTCCCAAAAGTCAGATACACAGAGTGTCTGTAACATTTAATGGAACTTTGTCTTCTATTAAATCCCCACTTATTCAAATGCATATTCAAGCATCTGGCTTCTTCATTATATCTTCAAATGTAGTTGCACCTAAAAATTTGCAAATTGAAACTATCATCTGTTGGCTCTGTACACCCCTTCAGAACCTGCTCTCCACCTATGGGGCTAGAAACCTCCAAGTTACAGCTTCCAGATTCCTTCCCATCTGGCTTCTCTGAGGGTCTGCCAATGGGAGGCACTGGGGGATGGAAGCAATCAGGGAGACACCACTTCCCCCGTCTTCTGGGTTGTGCGGTGTGCATGGTGTGGTATGCATGGTGGCAGCCACAGTGATCTTGCGATCGGAGGCTCTGGGTGACATCATTTTCCCCTTTTGTTTCTCCGGCTCTACGGAGCAGTGAGTCCCTGCAGTTATTAATCCTGCATAACCCTACCTTCCTCTATATGCTCTCGCAGCCCTTCCCAAACCTTTATAACCAATTCCCTAGATTAATTTACTTCTGTTTGAAATACTGAGAGTGGTCTGTTTTCCTGGCTGGACACAAAAAGGGTAAAAAACACTTAAGATTTTATTCTATTTAACTTGTTTATATTATAGTCAGGCCATTATATCCTTTTTTTTAAAAAAAAATCATGCACTTGGTGGTGAAAAGGTACAAGCTTCCAGTTATAACATAAAAAATTCATGGGGAAGTGGTGTACAGCATGGTGACTATAGTTAATAATACGGTATTGCAAAAATAATAATAATACTGTATTGCATATTTGAAAGTTGCTAAGAAGGTAGATCTGAAAGTTCTCATCACAAGAGAATAATTTGTTTTGAAAGTATGTAAGGTGATGAATGTTAAGTAGTTACTGTGGTAATATTTTGCAATATATAAAAATATCAAATCATTATGTTGTACACCTAAAACTAATACATTATATGTCAATTATTCTTCACTTAAAAAAATTATGCACTTGGGTAAATATATTACCTATTAATTTAATTTTGGGTCAACAAAGGGGGGGTATCGCAAAATAGTTGTTACTGTAAAACAGTGGTGTCAGAAGTATTGGCAAGGACATGGAGACAAGGGGAAAGTTGTGCTTTGTTGATGGGAGTATAAATTGGTACAGCCTTTACGAAAAACAGTATGGAAGTTCCTCAAAAAATTAAAAATCGATCCTACCATATGCTTCAGCAATACTACTTCTGGGTAAATATCCAAAGGAAATGAAATCAGTGTCTACGAGATCTCTGCACTCCCGTGTTCTCTGCGGCATTATACAGAGTAGCCAAGGAATAGTAAAAGTCTGTATGCCCACCAACGGATGAATGGATAAAGGAAATACGACCTATCTATAATGGAATATTAATCATCCATAAAAATTAGAACTCAGAAATGCTGGGAGAGGAATGGAGGTCTAGGAGCTGGGGGTCGGGTGAGGCGGGGAGAAGCTGGTCTTTGGGTGGACGTTTGGATATGAGGTGGATAAGCTCCAGGGGATTTAATGCAGCGCTGGTGACTGCTGCTAAGACTGTACTGTATATTTCAAATGTGCTAACAGAGTGGGTTTCAAGTGTGCTCCCCACACCAAAAGAATGGCAACTGGCGAGGTAATAGACGTGAATTAGCTTCATGTGGTAATCATTTTACAATTTGTAGCGTATTACACCAGCACACGGTACTCCTCAAGTACATGCCTGCTTTTTTTGGGGGGGGGGGGTCACTGATACCTCAAGGAAGCTGACAAGGATTTGTTTGAAAAAGTGTTGAGCCTGACAGAACTGAAAACAACTCATCTGTGCCATCCGCGGTAGTGTTCCACATCCCATCAATTCCCCTATTTGACACTGAGAACTCTCAGCCTTTTCAGGACGCCGACGCACTTCAGTGAATATCCTGGTACTTACGGCTCTCGGTGCATTGCAAAACCTCCGATGACTGCGTCTAACAGAACTCAGTTCTGCTGCAGTCTATCCTCCTTCCAGGATGTGCGTTTTCGTAAAGAAAGACCAACAAAGCCTGCACTCGGGGAAAGCGCGGCGGCAGCCCGGGAGGCTACCGCGCAGGCGGCCTCGGGGGCGGGGCCGCGCGCAAGGAGCGCGCACCGGGCGCGTCCTCGCCGCTCTGCCGACGCTGCCGACGCCGCCGACGCCTGGAGCCCCGCCCGTGCCTGGAGCCCCGCCCGCGCTCTGCGCAGACGCGGTGCACACCAGCGCCCGCTGGGTGAGGTCCATCACCGCCTCGAAAAGCCGCGGGTGGTCACAGAAGAAGGTGCAGCAGTCCGAGTGTGCCGAAGCTGAGGCAGGGAGCAAACGCAGAAACCATTCTCCAGCCCTCGCCCGATCTCTGCCTGGAGGCCAAGGCTGTCTCTGAGCAAGGGATTTTGCTTTGGCGCCTAGAGTTCTGAAGATACAGGTCTTCCGAAGGGAGCTGCCGTTTCTGAAAGGGCTTCATAGAGTCTCTACAGAGACATATAAATCTTCCAGTTTCCATCACAAGCCTAAGGAGAGACCTATCTACTCAACTCTTCATCTTCCCACCATATTTCATGATTTCTACCCGAAATCTTGTGAAATCCCTGGCTTCCCCTTCCCATTCACCCACCGGATCCGGCCACTCATGAAATCCAGTGGATTAGGCAGCCGGGGGGTTTCTAGACGTTGTCACTCTCTCCATCCTGATGTCACCTTGCTAATTCTAATTCACCCCAGGGATTACTACAAGAGCACCCACTGGTTTTCTTCTTCAGGTCTCCATTTTACATTCTTCATATTCCGGAGTAAGCTTTCTCAAAATCAAATGTGAGCATATGGACACTTGATGACCCTTCAGGGCTTCCTAGTTTTAAGATAAAGTTCAAAGCCCTTAATAAGTCTCAGCTAGCCCCTTTCCTTATGTCTATAATTTCTTCATCGTTTCTAGGGGCGCCTGGGTGGCTCAGTTGGTTAAGCAACTGCCTTCGGCTCAGGTCATGATCCTGGAGT